CCGGTGGGCGCCCCAGTTGCCTAGAGGTGCTCCCGCCTCGCCCTGCCCTTCCTGCCTGCTGGCTGTGGGGACATCGGAAGGAGTTAGCAGGGTGCGGACTGTAGCCCAGAATGCACGGTTTTGGAAAGACCTGGAGCGTTTCTGGCTTTCTGACCTGTGCTCTCTGGCGCCCGTCTCCCAGTTCAGTTCGGATGCAGAGAGGGCCGGGTGGTTGTCCCCCTCTCTTCCCTGTGGCTGGGCGGAAGGCTCGGCCCAGCCCACCTCACCTCCGGTTTCAGTCCGTCTCTGTCAGCTAGTAAGGGCCTTGGTTCTTCTCTGAGTTTTTATGCATCTCTTAGTTGTGCCTTTGTGTCTAACCAGAACCCGGGGAGCAGTGTGTCTGGAATAATGAACCTGCCATCCTTAACCTCAGCACGTTCAGTCTTCGCTCTTCCAGTATCCTGTAAAACCAGACTTCCATTTTCCAGGCCCTTGGCTCCTTGGCCCGCTGAGCCTTGGCGGCGGCTGTGGGGTCCACCAGTGGCAGGGGTGGTCGCAGGGCCCCGGGCACACCGAGGGCTCCCCGAGCCGGGTGCCTCTGCCCTGCCTCCTTCGCCTCAGCGTCCGTTCCCCGTCCGCCCTGGGGCTCCGGTGTTCAGGTCCTGGGTGCGGCCCTCGGTACAGCCAAGCCGAGAACGTGGTGCGCTGGCCGCCTCCCGTCTTCCTCCAGCGTCAGCGCAGCCAGGCAGAGTGACAGCTGTGGCGCTGCCTGTGTGTCCCTGCCTCCTGCCTGCGTGCTGCTGGCCCAGGCTGATCGGTGTGGCTCTGGGTCTCGCCCTCCTAAACAGGTCTGCCTCTCTCGCACCTGTGTGCTCCCTGAAGTTGTTATTGGTTTCTGCTTTAGAACTGAAGGAACTGGGTCTCACTGTCGAACCAGTTCAAGTAGAACTCGTGGTTAGGCTTCTCCGTGCCCGCGAGATGCCCATCGGGGAACGATGTGCTGGTGTGCAGGAGGCCCTCTGGTAGGCTCTTGCTTCTGGGTCTCCCAGTCAGTCCAAGGGGTGGGGAGGACGTTTCGGGGCATTGTGGGTGGCACATCATTGCAGGGTGTGTGGCAGGACAGACCGCTGTCCTCACATCCAGCCCTTTTGGACTGTGCCTCAGTGTCCTCCTCCTGTCACCATCCTTGGGACCAACCCTTGGAGACGCTCAGCATCCAGGCTGGAGCGCACACAGATTTGGCAGAATAAAGAGTTGGAAGCAGAGGTGTGGCAGACTCTGGGAGGTGACTGCTCCCCACTCACGCTGTCACCTGTTAGCTATGCAGTCCCCAGAGCCTGGCCACTTGCCAGGTGAGGCTGCAGTCTGCCTTAGCCCAGGCACGGAGCGAAGAGTGGCTGTTTTTCAAGGGTTGCTGAAAGCAAAGGAGGAAACCCGTGATGGCGCCTGTGTGATAGAGGCGGGTGAAGCGCTTACCGTCTGCGTGACCACAGCAGTAGTTTGCCGGCTCAGCTGGCTGGAGCCCTCCTGCTCTGCAGGCAGCAGTACGTGCAGTGGTGAGGCGGGCATCGGGAGGCTGTTGTCCGTGTGCCCGTCGTTCCCTGGGGCCTCAATCCTAAGTGCATTTATATGAATGCATGGCAGGCATTTTGATTTTTTGATAGAAATTACAAATGAGACGCCCTGTTTCAGTCAAGTTAAATAAAATGATCAAGTAATTCCAGTGACTGTATAACCCGGGTTTTTCTTCCAATAGTACTTTCATACATACCTTATTTTTGTTCCCAAACAGACGGGATAATAGCTGCTTCACATATTTAAGTTTTAATAGATTAGAAACAATAACAAACCTATGATCAGGTACCAAGTTGCTTATTGAGTTACTCTATTTAAAAATGTTTTCAGAGAAAATAGAAGGTCGAGTTAAGCAGAGTTGGGTTGTTTGGCTTAATTTTCTGGAAAATAGGATTGCTTTATCAGATCGCAGCGTCCCGGCCCTCACGCTTGGCTGGCGGCTGATGGGCTCTGCTGCGTGCGGAGGCGGGAGGGCTGTAAGCCGGGCGGAGCGGGCGGGCCCGCGGGTGGGAAAGGGGCCACCTCGTGCCGACCCTCTCTGCCCTGGACTGCTCTGCCCTGGGTCAGGTCAGCATCGGGGCGCGGCTCCCTGCAGGCCGGGCTGTGTGGGGGCAGTCGCTCAGTGGCGGCAGACCACATGCAGGGCGCTCGGTAGAAGGTGCCACGTGCCCAGAGGTCTTTGGCAAGTGCGGTTGTCGGGAAATGGCAGCGGCATTCAAATAAGGAATGTGAGCAGGCTTGCTCGCATAGCGCGTGGAAGTCTTTCTGGCTTGGCTTTTCAATACCGAGGCATAGTCTGTCTCCTTGGCATAAGGAGAGGAAAGTTCTTTTCCACCTAACTTCCCGTGTTGAGATTAAACATAAGCTTTTATGTGTAGAAGCACTCTGTCATTGTTAACGCCGTCCAGATTTGAAGATTAAAGAAATTACTTTCTCTTCACTCCTAAAATTGGCCAAACACTTAAAAGTACAGTGGCTGGTTTTTTACCACATATATTTCTTATTTTTTCTGTGAACGTCTGTCTTCAACAGAGGAGCAGCCTGTTCATTTTAGAATTTCAAACGAAATTTGATGAGGCTTTACAAGAAAAAATATTTAAGGCAACAATCTGGATTAATTAGAAGAAGCAGAGAAATAGTTGTTATTAGGCATTGAGAATGGGTTCATATAGTGCATTTGAGCAATGAATTTGCCCACAAATTTCCTGGCCAGTAAGTCAGGAGAAATGCGTTGAACTGTAAGATCTCAGGAAGAAATGACACACACGCTCATGCAGGCAGACTTTTTTTTTTTTTAATCATAAACCTGCCATCTGTGGCTCGTGGTTAAGGCACTTTGAGTCCCTTTAAGAAAGAATGTTCCTTTACTGTCCAAATGTTGGAGAATAGCTAATACTTAGTGATGTAGTAGCTGTCAGGCCATAGAGTTAAGCATCTTGCATGTAGGTTTTCATTACAGCAAATTATGGGAAATAAGAGAAATCCTGAATGTTTTAGTAGCTAGTTCTTTGGGGACAGGAGGCCTCTTATTGGCAACTGAATACTGTTCCCAGCTGACACAGTAGGTTTGTCGTTCTCATCTTAGAGGTCTGAGAACAGAACCCTGGAACGTCTGTGCTGCCTGCCTGCCTGTTCCGTGTGGGTGCGTGGGCTGGGGCAGAGCCCCGAGATCTGGGACCGCACTGCTCCAGGGCACAGTTTGCTTTCAGCTCTGTGACCTTGGTTTGGGTTTGGAGCTTGGTTTTCTTATCTGTACAATAGAAGTGCTGCTAGAACATGTATCCCGGACTGCTCACGAGTCTACAGATGTGTATTAGATACCCCAGTGCTCAGCTTGTAGTCGTGGTCCAATTAATGTGTGTCGTGCTATTTTTATTACATCACAGTTTCAAATTGGAATTTACGTTTGACTTTGTTTTTGAAAGTTTTCTTAGTTTTTTACCTAAGTAAGTGTGATTTGCTCTGTTTAAACTCCCCTTCAGTGGTTAAGTTTTTAAATATACATTTCTAAGTGATTCTCTAATAATCTTTATCAGAATCAGAGACCCACATATCAGTTAACAGCAAAAGACTCTTGTAATTTATACATCCGGAGTTGATGTATTAGTAGATATTGCTAGATATATTTTAGAACCTTCAGGAAATTGTTTATTGTGAGTAGAACATAAAATATATTTTGCCATGTTATATCCTGAGGCCGAAATTATATTTCTTGAGGCTGGTAGACCCCAAACTGTAGTATTTCTGTCTTTCTCATTTTTATTTTTATTCATATGAGTTTGCAGTACGTAACGGTCACCCTGGGGCAGCCCCAGACCCATCTTAGCTTCCTCTCCCCTTCTGCCCCTCTCTCCCTGGCAGATGTGGGACGGAGGGAGATACACGACTGGCTACATAGTGGGCTCACCAGTAAGCCCGGGGTCTGAGGTCTCACTGTCCTTTCTCCTTTTCTCTTTTTCCCATCCAGCTGCTCTCACACTCAGTCTTGAGGGTCAGGTGATAAGCGTGTGTCTTACGTGCTGTTTCAGTAACACAGAACTCTGAGTAACTTAGATGCTCGCTGCTGGGGACTTTGCAGAGCACTGCATGTTTATGCACCTTTCCAGTGGTGAAAATAATATGACTTTTTTGCCACTGTTTAAAAATGTCCTTTTGTTGTAATATCTTCCCACCCCTTAAAATGGCCTACATTTTAACTGGATATTTTTTTCTAGCCATCCATCAAAAACTAGAAGCAGATGGAACGGAAAAAGTGGAAGGATCCATGACGCAGAAACTGGAGAACGTTCTGAACAGTGAGTTTGCCCCTCCACCCACAGCTATTCATGGCCTTACAGCCAGTGTTAGTACGACCCTTGAACCTCATCTCACAGCGCAAGGCAGTGACTTGCCACTCAGCATTCACTTCCAAATAGCAGTGATTTAACGACACAAAGGGAAACAGAAATATTGAACATGAGTTTGGTTTCTGTTTGCATTTTATTTGTGAGAAATCATAATTTGAAAATTGTGTTTCTTCCAAGATAGAATTTGCTCCCCTAAACCAAGGAAGGTGCCTTTCCTTATTTTCGAATGTGCAGGGCAGGTCTCCTCGGCTACGAGATCGACACACACTCAGGTGTCACCATTTGTGAATTTAAGGCCACTGTCAAAGAGTGTGTCTGACTTTGAGAGAGTTAGTAAAAACTGGGTTCAGGACAAACTGATACATAAAAGCTTTGGGGCCCATCCTCTTTCCCTTTAATCCTCTTTCCGGCAATTTGTATCCCAGCTACTTATCCCACTGCTTCAAGAAGAAACTCATCAGATCAGCTAATCCTTATTGTACTGTTAGTGCCTTAAAATGAGTTACTCAGTTTTGTCCTTGCAGTTAGCTTTTGGTGTGAAGCAGTAATGCCCAGGGGAGTCTCCTCATTTGTAAATACAGTGTTACATATGATTTCCTTACAACGAGGGGCTAAGAAAAAAAATTAAGAGTCCTCACATTAGATCTTGAAAGATTCTGTGAATGCAGGACCGTGGTATGAAGCTAATTTTATACTTCCAGCTTAATTTAGTCCATTGAGCAGAACTTGCTGAGCCTTTATGTAAACATCTGTTCACAAAGTTCCTAATAAGAAAGTATTTTGTAGAATGAAGCCTTAATTTGCTATAGGCTGTCCTTGGTGGTAGAATTTATTCACTTGTTTTATTCTAAATCTGTGAATTCAACAGCACTTAAAATTTTTTTCCTCTGATTATTACTGCAATTATTATTATTTGCTTTGAGATTTTTGCCCTTTCTTTGTGTCTGAGAACCAAGTCACCAACTTTGGTGAAATGAATATGTTCAGAATTCCACCCAAATAAATATTTATTGAGGGGTATTTCTGTCAGAGCAGTCAGACATTTTAAGGTTTTAGAAGGATTTTTTTACTTTAGGATGTTATTTGCACCGTTGAAATTGTCTTGAAACAATGATATAGCTGCAAAAAATGAGATTACTTCAATAACTTTTAAAAGGTAACTGTAAGAATAGCTGACCCAGTGAATGTGTCCTTGTGGCAGTAAAAAGATTTACCAGTGTCGGGAAAATCCTAAGATTCCTTCTTCATGGGTTAGACTTAGCATCATGGGGTGACATTTTTTTTCTTTTAAGGTGTAATTTGGAAAATCTTTGCTTGAGAATTGTGGTATAAAAATTGTAAGAAAAAAAAATTTTTGGGGGGGGGTACTGGGGGTCAAACTTGGGTCCTTGTGCTTGCGAGGCAGACAGCAGAGCCACTGAGCTACATCCCCGGCCCCAAGAAAAATTGTTTTAAATGTGTTTTGTACCTAACCAAATTTGTTCTAGAAATGTGTCATGTTAACTTTCTACTGAAATTTGCTTTTTTTTGGTTAAAGTTGGGCTTGACTGACATAATGATTATTTCTTTATGAAACCCTCAGGACTTTTTAATATAAAGTTTTTCCTTAAAATATAATTTTTGTAACAGTCATCTTTTTTCTGGAAACATTCTTTATCCCCATGATGTTGACGTTTGCTCCCTTAGAATAAGGTTTTGCTAATTCAGGGCAGCTTGACAAACTTTCCAGGTCCCGGGCTGAGCCCACCAGGGAGACCAGCCAGAGGGCATGTGGATCCCTGCAGCAGGCATCCCTTCCCGACAGGCCTGTCCCTGTCGTCCGTGTGTGCCGAGGCTGCAGGTGGGGGTGAAGACCTCGGGAACTGTCATCCAGAGAAGTGGTCCCAGGGGACGCCGAACATCTAGTTTGACTTCCTTTTGAAAAGAAGGAATAAATGAGTATGACTATAATTTGCTTGGATCGTGACTAAGGAGGCTTTCATTGTGTAGAAGACTATAGTAATTTTGCTTTTTTTGAGACAGGGTCTCTGTGCAGTTCAGGCTGGCCTCAAACTCACTGTGTAGCCCAGGCTGGCCTTGAACTCTTGGTGATCCTCCTGCCTCAGCCTCCCAAGTGCTAGGATTACAGGCGTGCGCCACCACACCCCGCAAGAATATAGTAATTCAAATGGAGTGTTCTTTCCTTTTTTTAAATGAGAATTTTTTGTTGCTTTTGGCTTTAAATTTAGGCAGTGTTTCTCACTGTCCCCTAAGTTTTTAAGGCATAATAATGTTGATCACACAACGTTGCCAGTTTTGTTCAGTGTTTATGAGTACTGACACCTTTTACAATTATTCCTTTGGTTATTATTGACATATTCTAATATTTGCCCCTGAAAACTTAATAATGCATTCTTGGTTTATTTACCTCACAGTTGCATACCCAGCCCTGTGTTCTTGATTGCCCTGAAAGTGCAGAAGGGCACAGTGGGCCGGATGGGCTCCTGTAGTGCTGGCCGTGGGGCAGGTCACGTGTGCCTGGGGTGACGGAGGTCACATGTAAAGGGGCAAAGGTTCATTTTGGCTCGTAGTTTGGGGGGCTCGGGCCACAGTCCCCAGCGCCATTCCCTCTGGGTGACATGGCAGGCAGAGCTCACCGCAGGGAGCGCCGGCGGCAGCTGGGAGGGAAGGACAGGAGGAGCCAGGGGTCCCAGGTCCCCATGAAGCCTCTCCCAGCGCCTTAACTTCTTCACTTTATGCTGACGTGGCTGGGCACTGCCTGCCATTGCGTTGGACAGCACGGGTGCTGGTCCATAGCCTCTGCCCCCTGGCGGCTCCTGGTGAGCAGCCCCTGGGGCCCTTACGGAAGTGGGTGATCTAAAGGCAGAGAGTGGCCCGCCCGAAAGAGGTGCATCGCAACCAAGCCGTGACAGCACTGGAAACGAGGTTCCTGCTCAACCGCACGGGGCTGCAGTGAAGGTGACCTCACCAGCAAGCGGAAGGCCGTGTCTGTGGCGAGAGGGAGACACCTGAGAAGCGATACCCGACTGCACCCTGGACACCCACAGGGTGCCCCAGTGCAGGTCCTCCCCATCAGGATGGCCCATCCTGGGAACCCGCTGTGAATCGGAGACAGCCCTCCCGGCTGGCTGTCAAGCCCGGCAGCACAGCGCCGCTGCTGAGCCTCTGTGGACCCCTGTGGCAGGGGTACCCATGGGGCTGCAGCTCCCCCACCACCCACACCCTTCGAGGCAGCGGACTGCGGGGTGCCAGCCTGGGCAGAGTGCCACAGTCAGAGTCTGAGCTACGGCTTCCACAGAGCGTGCTTTGCACCACGGCAAAACGGAAAAATTGTAAGGGGAATCATTCTGAGTTGAGGACGTCTATGAGTTTGTGTTGGGTGGTCACCATGGAGATGGCTTTGCTGGGTTTCAAACTGTGTCACCCTTGTCGGGCCCCAGTGGTACAAGGTGGGGCATCCTGGCCTGTGCTGTCCTCTTCTGCCTCTCTGGATAGAAGACTCTGGACACTGGCCGGAGACTGGTTTTCAGTGTTTATGGAGCACAGCTTTGATTGTTCTTGGAATGTAAAATTAAAACTGCTTGTTTTTAAGAGTTTATAACTCCTTGGAAAATACAGACACATAAGCAGGTGATTGAGTGGTCATGTGCTTTTACTTGGCTGATAGTAATTCTGGGGTACAGCTGGAGCACACCCTCAGCAACTGACGGAGAAGCAGAGCATGTAAGGGTGTGGTTCACCGGGGAGAGGCTTGCCTGGCTCCTGTGAGGTCCTGGATTCTGTCTCCAGCACCAAAGTAACAACAGAAACAGGTGGAGTGGAGTGACTGTCTCGGCGGTCATACGTGCTTTGAGAGGGTAGCGGGAAGTGGCCAGAGGAGCAGACTGGCAGATGGGCAGCTAGATGGAGCCAGGTGCGCCCTGGCAGGGGCAGCTGCAGGAAGGGGAAGCAGCCTAGGAAGCGGGACCTAGAATGGCTGTGTGTCGAAGCTGCATCGGAGACCTTCCCTGCTTGTGCCATCCCGTGGAGCTGGCCTCTGTCCTGAAGTCTCCCGGGGCTCACGGGAGGTGAGCCGGGGTGTCCGGCTGTGGTACCCTCAAAGCACACTGCCAGCTGATAGGTGGTGGCTCAGAGCAGGCAGCACGGGGGAGGAAGAACCCAGGCAGGGTGTGTGGATTGCAAGAATGTGAAGGTGACGGGGTAAAGCCCTCTAGCCAGAGCCAAGGGCAGGCAGAGTGAATGGCTGGGGGAGCCACTGGGGAGAAAGGGTGACAGCAGTTGGTCCTTGTGGAGTGGGAAAAAGGAAATGACCAGTGGGGCTTCCACAGCCGGCTTCACCTGCAGGAAGGAGGAGCAAGGGAAAAGCCCAGCTGTTATAGCATGTCAAGTCTGAGATTCCCGAGGGCCGGGTCAGTGAGTTTCTTGCTGGCTCTCTCTACTCCTGTCTGTCACACTGGCAGGAGGAATAACCTGTGTCGCACCTGCCTGCACTGCCCATGTTGGAGGCACATAAGCCAGTGCACGTGAGTTGCGCCTGTCAAGTAGAATAGCACCTAGCGCGGAGGAAGTGCTCATAAGCTAGCTGACCTTATCACACATCTAGCGAAAGGACTTTGAAAGATTAGTGTAAGCTCACAGGCATCTTGAAATGTGGATTTGGGAATCGGTATTGGGATGCAGTTGAAGGACTAGGACTGAAGGAGCAGGTACCATGTGTAAAATTAAAAGAACAAGATCAAGAACACTAAAGAGCAGCAGTGGGAGGAAGTTCTGTGAAAAAGAAAATGATGCTGCCTCAGTGGTTGCAGGTGAATATCTGACGAGTGGCAGTGATAAAAGAAAAACAGAAAGGAAGCCCAGCCATGAGTTCAGCCTTCTCCAGAGGCGCTGTGAGCTCGCAGTTGGCTCTGTGCACACGGCCGACCTCAGCTCTGCTCTCATGCTGTGATCCTGCTCCTTGTCGCCTTCGAAGCTGTGGGATCCCAGAGTGAAGTCAGCATCAAGCAGTCCTTACAGTGGCGTTCACCTAATACCGTGATGTGACTGCCGGCCGCCTGTCATTCTCTAGAATCTGAGTGGAACCCGAGACACATAGAGCAGGAGGGTAGGGCCCTTTGTGGTCCTGATTTTGCCACGAGTGTGAGTACCCGTTTTAGGGTTACTCAGTTTTCCAGATGCTGTAATGTGTGGTTTTCTCATCCCATCAGCTTGCCTGTTTCTGGGATAAATTGTATGGGGGTTCCTTCTGTTCTGTCCCTGGCCCCTGCGAGTCCCATGGAGCAGAGAGCGCAGATTAAAACTCACTTTTATGACCTACAGTCTCAAGTGCTAGTACCAAGAAAGGGACTGATGAGGTCACTTCGAAATAAGGAAAAGCGTAATGTTTGCTTTAAATACCCATGCATGAAATTCTAAGGCCCATTCGAATTTCGGGCCTAGATTTCTGAGGTGACAAGAGTTCCTGGCATAGCTGAATTCCTTTGTGTGTGTTGAGGACAGATCGCTGCCAGGTCGGTGTTCGTGTGAGGAGCTACACAGAGGTCACCTTTCTCCCCATGTTACATCGCCACATTGGCAGCAGCTGGAGTGTGGTTCCAACAGCAGGGTTGTTAGTTCTTGGGCCCCTGTGTGACTCGGACAGTGACGTCCCTGTCCAGACCCCCAGCAGTGAGACGTTCTTTGGGGAGGAGGGGACCCACTTCGGGCCTAGGATCAGGACCTGTTCTGCAGATTTTCCCCTAGTCACACACTGGACGTTCTGACCCCTGGGTGGTGTGGGGATCTGGGCCAAGGTGCCTGGCTTGGTGTGCACGCAGTGTTGGTGCGGTGGCTGCGTGGGTGCCCTGCCAGGCCCTCTGTGTGCACCCTTTTGTGTAGCAGCCCTGCTCGCTTACTTGCAGCCCTCGGGCAGAAAGACACCCAGTGCATCATGGGGGCTGCTGGTGATTGTTTTCTGCTGTAGAAATCTTTTTTTTTTTTGGTACCAGGGATTGAACTCGGGTCCTTGCGCTTGCAGAGCAGGCAGTGGCTGCCTCACTGAGCTACAGCCCCGGCCCTCTGCTGTGCAAATCCTGATATCACTGCCCTCCTGTATTTTCTTGTCATTATCAGAGTGACCAATACAGGAAGATTCACAACAAATAATTTCCTGGCAGAAATTGTCTACATAATTTCTCAGTATCGCATAAGTTGAAATTCTTTATATGTAAATGCATATATTTTTGTATAAATTAAATTCTGACTTTATAGTTTATAATTTCTGCCTATAAATTTTTGTTTGCTTTCTTTAATTGTAAGTGGATTTTCTTTGTACATATTTTCACAGTTTTTAAAGGAGTTAAATTATTAATTGGTATTTTTTAATCACATTAAAAATAAGGTGGTAAAAGTCTAATTTGGGCTTGTATGCTCTTTGTACAGATTCTCCTGTTATGCAAAAAAAAGCACTTGGTGATTTCACATCCGAACTCCTCAAAAGTAATTAACCTTTTAATGGCATTCAATTCCATTCTCATATCTAATTATTTATGAAGCTTGAACTCATCAAGTTTGTAGTTTTAAAACGATAAGCAAATACTTTAAAATAATTTTTCTTGAAGAAAGTTTTAACCCTAATCAGATTTCAGATTCTCACTCAGCCTCCACTGTGCAGTTTGGTGACAAGAAGGAAATACATTTTTCCTCATCTTAGAATAGAAGTGCAGTGTTCCACATTAAACAGCATGTGGTGAAAACAGTTATCTTGACCAAACAAAGTTTTTATATCAGGTCTTTAAAATTTCAGCAGAACTTAAACATTATTTAGATAAAACAATCATGTTACAAAGACGACTTTTAACAGGATCAGGCCACCCACAGTGTGGGCCGGAGGACGTGGCATGCAGCCACCCAGCGAGGCTGAGGTAATTTTCTCATCTCTGCTTAAAGTATGGTCACTAGACCAGATAATGGAGAGACTTTCTCAGGCAGCGATCAGACAGCTGAGAACAGTTTATCCTTTTTCTCCTCTTTGCTTGAGTCTAATTGAAAATAATTCACAAGTTACAAAAATCTAAGCTATTTTTGTATGTAGCACATTTTCTTTAGATAAAGCAGCACTTTCATCACAGTGAACCATGTAGTATGAAGTCTTTTAGGTGAAAAAAAAGCCTTTTGAAATGTCCTGTTTATGTATCATTTTATAAGAATTAGCTGATTTGAGAAATATTGATGATGCAATGTTAAGTGTGACATTTTCAGTTGTTTATATTATTTTCCATGCCTGAAATATAAGGAGATAATTTTATAAAGAAAAAGGATTGGTTTTAAAGTACGTCTTCTGAACAACTTTTCTGAAAGCTGCTTTCCTGGTTTTATCGCCTCTGCATGTCAGCCCTGCGTCTGTGGGAGTTCGCTAGTATCCATGTGAGTGTGCACACAGGCGTGCGTGTGTGCATGTGTGTGTTTGTCCTTACTGTCTGAAGCAATGGAATACCCTAAGGGCCCATAGCTGCCATGATAGTTGGAAGCATAACCAGAACAGATGTTGGCTCCTGTTGGGGGAATTTATTTGGGTGTGGTAAGGATGGTTCTTTTTAATAGGTTACCATTCTCAACATATGAAAAGACATAGCAGGCAAAATGAAAATTTTATTTTAGCAAACCATAAAAGATTTCCAATGTAGCTAACTTAAAAAAAGAAAACGGTCTTTTGAGATTTAATAGCAGTCTGTAATAGAAGTCCTAACACTTTGTTTTCTAGTCCGTTACACATTTTCTGATTAAAATCAGCTTTTATTTGATTCTTTTTCTCCTTTTAAAATAGGAGCAAGTAATACAGCAGACACATTATTTCAAGAAGTGTTAGGTCGAAAGGACAAGGCAGATTCCACAAGAAATGCACTCAATGTACTTCAGCGATTTAAGTTTCTCTTCAACCTTCCTCTAAATATTGAAAGGAATATTCAAAAGGTAGAGTACTTATTTATGTACCATGATAGATGTCATAAATTTTAAAGATTTGTTAAGATTTTTTTATATTAACCAAATGCTTCTTTATTTTAAAGGGTGATTATGATGTGGTTATTAATGATTATGAAAAGGCCAAATCACTCTTTGGGAAAACGGAGGTGCAAGTTTTCAAGAAATGTAAGATTTGCTTATTATTACTTTCAGATCTTCTACTTCCCTTTTACAGGAAGAATGTGGGATGTGTGCTGCAAAGAGTGTTATGTGCAGTTTAGATTTTGTTTATATAGTGCTTTCTTTAAAATGTAAAACAATTACTTCAGAAATGGCATGGCTTTTCTTCCTGATCTAGTTAAAATGAGCAACTGTGATGTAGGTAAGTCTCAGACATTTTTTTCTATTTGTTAATCATGATGCTATTACAAAAGTCTTTCTTACTAGAAAGAAGTAATGTCAGGTATTTTATAGACATGGAAACCTGCATTTCAGTCTCCCCTTACCAGAAAGACCAATACATTTGTGAATTCTAACCTTTAAAGCGAAATCAACACCTTTTGAAACCCTTTCTCATACCACCAGAGTTGTAGAAAATAACAAAAGCTTAAAATTCCCTGTGGTTAAAACCTTATCAACCAGGAGAAATATCATAGGGCTTATTAAATTCAGAAGTGAAATCATAAAGACTCAGAAAACAGAACTCATTTCTTCCCTGTGATAGCTTCCCGGGCGGTGAGACACACGCCCCTTGCCTGTTGCAGGTCAGCAGGCTCCGACAGACGCCCTTGCCGGCTCGACAATGAGTGGGTGGTGAGCACAGGGGTCCCTTGTACTGCTGCTCAGTCAGAAGGAAACGCTTTTCTGCTTTGTTAAATTGGACTTTAAACTCCACTTCGGTTAACTCTTGTATATATATTTTTTTTAAAAAAAATAGATTATGCTGAAGTAGAAACACGTATTGAAGCTTTACAAGAATTACTTCTGGATAAATTGCTCGAAACGCCATCGACCTTACATGACCAAAAACGTTACATAAGGTAAAGAATGTTGACAAATCCCGTACCTCTGCTACTGGTTGTGTCATGTGACCCGGAAAGCTCATCTGGGGGATTCTGGGAACCCGACTAAGTGGAGAGAGGGAAAACAAAGAGCAGAAACTGAGAGGTATCTGCTATGGGACACCAAAATTCTTTTGAATGCTAATAATTGGCAGCAGTTCTGGAATAATCACTTTTTAATGGGGAGAAAATGCTGGCAGTTTGGCCAAAGGAAAAGTGGCCTCTTTGCTCGGTCACCCCTTCCGCAGTGCGCAGCCGTCCTGCGTGGGGCGGTGCGGGAGCTGTGCTCTAGGAGGCCGCAGGTCGGGAAGCAGGGTCCCCACCGTCCTTCTCCAGGCGGGCGGCGGCTCCTGATGCCAGAGGAGTGTGCCCTGGCTCCTGGCTCCGCGGCGGGGATGGTTCTGGAAGGCTGTGTCCTAGCTGGTCCTGCATGCAGCCTTCAGCATCAGTAGAAAACAGCAAGGCTGCAAAGCGGAACCCTAAACAAAGCTGGCAGTGCTGTTAGAAGACGTGGCCGGCATGGCCACAGAGACGGCTGCCAGGAAGCAGGGCCTGCGTGGTCCCGGGCCCCGCTGTGCACGCGGCGGCTGCCCCGAGCCCTCTCCCTTCAGTCTGCGCCTGGACGGGGCCTTGTCCCCGTGGTCTGCGTTGCGGGCCCGGCAGAGGTGTTGAAGGGCTCAGCACGGCACCTGGCACGTAATGAGTAGTCAGGGAATGTTTTATGTGTATAGTTTGTGTCAGGATTTGGAGTCAGAATAAAGTCATGAGCTTTTCATATCAGTGATTCAAGAATACTATGTTTTCTGCTGGGGACCTTGATTGCTGCGCTTGTTCTCAGACTGTAAGGCTTCTCTCCAAGAATTAGCAAGGTGGATCGGAGATGCACAGTTACAAGATGGCTGTAGTCATCGTGTGGTTGCGGGAAGAGGTCTGGCCTGCAAGCTACCATGTCCCAGGAGTGCCGGCGGGGCTGCGGGGCGGACAGGGAGTGTAAGCTGCTGTTGCTGACCGTGTCCTGGGGCTGCCCAGGCGGAAGATGGGCAGGAGAGCAGAAAGCCCATCGCTGCTGCTGCTGCCAGCTGGGCCGTGCCTTTCGCTGTGGCTGTGCAGGGTGCGTGCTCACTTCTGTCCTCACGAAAGGGCCTGGTGTTGTCCCCAGACACAGGTGATGACGGAAGCCCGCCCGGCCCGCGCTGCCAGAAGCGCCCTGTTTGTCCCCTTGCCTCAGCTCCTTACTGCCTCCGTCAGCAGAAAACGTACTCGGAGGGCTTTTCTTGCTTGCAGCATTGTAGAAATTTCAAGCTGGAAATAAGCCACAGTCAGTGATCCAGCTGCTCTATGTTCTACATATAAGGAAGCAGAGTCCGGGAAGGCCGGGCTGGAGCGCAGCAGGTGCCCTAACTCCCGCTCCCTTCCCTCTGCCTGCCGGGCAGGGCTTCACGGGCTCACTTCGCTGTTCTTTGTTATCTCCAGTTTGCCTAAACTTCACCCAGTGTCCATTTTCGCTGTGGGTGAACTACCATCCACATGGATAGCAAAAGTGCGGCTCCCAGGACCACGTTATCTCCCGGATGTCATTTAGAGATGTGCTCTCAGGAGAGGTGCTCTGAAATGACCCATCTTACTGCCTTTTCCTGTCCTTTTACAGGGTCAGTAACAGGAATGTCAACAACAGTTTAGTTATTTTTTATCATTTTCTTACTTTGATGGTTTGAGAAGACACAGAGCAGTTTGATTACCATTTTAAGTGAAAAACGTTAAGCATTAATGAGTAGAAGAACAAGATCAGAACCAGGTTACAGACACTGTGAATACCACGTGGGGTGAAGGTGCTGTCTTGTCCCCTCGGGCACAGCGGTGTCAGAGCCCTCACTCAGTCCGGCTGTGTGGCAGGCATGCGCATTTGATCGCTGCTGCAGCTTTGCTTATCATTTTATCTAAGGGAAGACTCCCTGGTCAGTTTCACTCGTCCTCGTCCTCCTGTCTTAATGCTGGGAGGGGACATCCGTCCTCAGCATGAGGCGGAGCTCCATTACTGGCTTCCATGAAATTGTGATCCTGGTCCTCACGTCAGAGTATGGCTACAAAGTTTCAATCTTAAATTTTAAAATATTGAGCTTATGTTGATCGTAATTAACATTCTTTACCTTGTTTTGCTCTCGAAAAAGCCTTTTGAGTGTCCTTTAATATGTAATTTTTAAAGAAATAGCAATAACATGTTGTCACATTCTATACAGAGCTTTGTAATGAAACATTTATTTTTAAACTTTATACTAAAAGAAAGAAAGAAACTTGGAAGAGCCTAAAACAAGCCATTGTACTCTAGAATTGAAACATCCTCTGGAATTTGAGAGAATAATTAGCTTGATAAAATACTCCTAAACTCCTTTAATTTGTTAATCATTGATAAGGGAATAGAAAGAAGATTATTACTAAATTTTGCAAGGACACAGTCAACATACCAAAGAGACTTATACTTTTAAAAGTTACTAAGGCAACAAGTGTTTTGATTTTTCTTGCTGAACTGCCTGAGAAAGAGCCCTAGGCATGACCATCCACATTCCTGTTTAGGAGTTTAGGTATTGAAAGGAATCAGCTTCTCTAAGGAATACTCCCACATGTCGCTGCTGACACCAGATCTGAGGGTTATGTGAGCGACAGTGTTAGGAGATGACTCTGTGTGAGTATTTGGAGGCAAAGCAAACCTGCCGAGAGAGAGATTGCTGGAAGGAAGTCTCCCTGGCAGGAGAGAATAGAAGCACGGGCATTTCCAGGTGATACAGGAGGAAAGCCTGGCATGAGGGGAAGCATTGGACTGAATTTGGGAAGCCGGAGGGTGAATTCTATTTGCCAAGCTAAAGGTACTGTGTTAGGTTGTGTTTGCGTCTCAGGACGCAGTTGTCAGACATGAGGAGGAGCCGTAAGTGGCTCTTAATGAGTGAAGTCCCTCCTGATTTGACCTGTCACCTTGCTTGCAGCCTGCTGGAGTCACAGGGAGGGGAGCGGTGGCAGCCCCGCCTAGGGAGGCTCGGGCCCCTTCTGTGGGTGCTCCGATGCCCACCCGCCCCACCTTAGCTCCTGCAGCTCGGGGTCAGTGTGGGGAGATTCTTAGGCCCTGTCAGATCTCTCCTCAGCATTTCGCACATTGCTAACTTACTGCCAGCTGGGTCTCTCTTCTGATGAGCTGCTAGTTGAGATGTCTAAATAAGGAGCACCCCTGAGACAGGGTCTTGAGTTGCTGAGTTGCCTGGCTGGAACTGAATGCGTGATCTTCCTGCCTCGGCCTCCCAGAGCACTGGGATTACAGGCGTGTTCCACCATGCCCGGCTCTAAAATCTTTGATCCTAAAACAAAAGACAGTTCTTAGTTTAAGAATAATTTTAAGAAATAAATTTATTTTAACAGGCTTTTGGAGTTTAGTTAAATTTAACCTGTCACATTAATGTATTATGTAATGTATATTAATATATTATTCAAGACTGAGAGCTTAGTCTTGAATAACATTTGACAGAAAAATGTCTACTGAAATTCATTGTGTATGTGGGTTGGGGTATTTTATGGAAAAGATGACTTTAAATATCTGAAAAGCTACATAAAAAGTAAGAAAAAATGCATTGGTAATGTATGATATGGAGCGGTATTTTCTTAGTCATGAGTTAAGGGTTTAGGATTTAGGCTTTAGAGGTAAGTACACGTCAGCAGCTGTCTACCCGGGAGAAAGCCATGTGGTCTCAGCTGGCCTGCCGTTAGTCTAGGAAACGGTGTCGCACTGCCATCTGGTGGCCACGCGGGCGCTGTGCCTGTGTCTGGCCCGGGTCTGGTGGCTGGCGCTAGCCGCAACGCGCTGAGGGCTGGGCCTCGCGTGCAGAGCCGCTCGCCCCACGATCATTGTCGGGGGTCGTTGCCTTCTCAGTTGTCTTCGTGTGAAGAGCTAAGTTTTAATAGTACAGCTTTGTCATTTATTATCATGTGAAAGGAAATTTGGATATATTTTATTGAAAACGAAAGACTAATATTGAGAAGCGCTTTACTAATCCATAAACCTTGGGATTTTCTGTAACAAAACTTTATGGTAGCCATAAAGTTTCCTCCTGCCCTCTGCTGACCGAGGCACTCGGACTGCCTTCCAGGTATCTGTCTGACCTGCACGCCCCCGGCGACCCTGCGTGGCAGTGCATCGGAGCCCAGCACAAGTGGATCCTCCAGCTCATGCACAGCTGCAAGGAGGGCTACGTGAAGGACCTGAAAGGCAAGTCTGGCACCGGTCTCTGCGCCTCTTCCTGCCCTTGAGTGCGCGTGCGTGCCTGCGTGCGGGGGGGGGGCGTTCGTGCGTGGGGGGCGGTTCCCGAGCTGTCCTGGACCGCTCCTCTGCAGCTCTCCTTGTTGGTCCCCTGCCCGCTGTGCAGCATGTACCCCCGGTGGAGCACAGCGCGGGGGGCAGACTGTGCGTGTCTGCCCCAGCGTTGAGGAGCAGGATGGACAAAGAATCCCTTTAAGGCGGCTCGGTGCCATAGCAGTGCTCGTGCTGCCCTGCAGCAGTGAGAGCTGCGTTCTCCTTACAGCGCAGTGCACCAGACAGACAGCAGACAGCTGCGTGGAGCCCTGGAGAGGAAGGGAAGGCTCTAAACATAGACTAACCAAGAACGACGAAGAAGCGTGGTGTCTGTGGGGAGCCACTGTGGGCCCACGTGCCTGGGTTGGGGAGGTGTCTGGGAGTCTCCCTGCTGCGTTACATAGCTTCCGCCGCCTGAGGTGGGCAGCCGCCTGCGCCAGTGCCTCGGGAAGATAAAGCTGCTTTTGCTTGCAGATTTCTGTCAGTGAAGTCCTGTCTTCCAACAAATACTGAATGGATTGACTCCAACCGGGAGACGTGCAGGCTCAGCACTGAGTGGAGGAGGAGACTAGGCGAACTGGGATCGCCTTCTAGGGGGACAGAATCTGACGGGGTTTCGAGGTCAGGGAGGTGGCGTTCCAGCTCTGAAGGGAGTGATGTCTATTTTGCGATTTGAAGCAGGACAGTCTTGGGGGCGGGAGGGGACAGGAGAGCATAGTGTCCCAAAACATGCGGGGATAGCCGTTGAGGTTTCTAGCATGAAGCAGGTCAGAGCAGTGTCCTCAGGGCAGAGCAAGGGCGGTGACATAGTTTGAGCTCCTGAGAAGATGATGTAAGACCAGGAGGTGTGGAGCTGACCTGTCCCGGAGGGTTGGGGCATAGTGTGAGGACAGGCCTGGCAGCGGAAGCTGTTTCTGTGAGAGTTGCTGTAAAATAGTTTTGTCATGTTTTAGTTGGCCAGTATTTGAATGCTTTGCATTATGGTTCTGTTCTTTTCAATGTTTGATATTTCAGGAAATCTCTGTCTCTAATGATGCATGTCAAAATTCCTCTTAATGTCATTAATTATTTTATATTTGTAGCAAGGGGAAATCTCAGCAAATGACATAGTAGTCCTTAGTCTCCGGGAATACCTAAGAGTGCCTTAGCATATTACTTTCCCTCTGATTGAGGTCTGCTTCCTCTTGAGTCTGCTGTGCGGTAGTCTGATACCCTGGACTGCCCAGCAGAATTCCCAGGGTGTTTCTCGAGCCTGTCCGCTCCTGGCCTCGCCCCTCTGTCCCAGTTCTGCCAGAATCTCTGAAGGTGGTGCCCAGGCGCCTGTGGTTTCCAGGCTGAGGGGAGCCTGGTGCGGTGGGGGTGGATGGTCAGCGTGCTGAGCGCCGTGCTAGGGGCTGGAGACGTGAGGAGCACGTCACCTCTTGGGGTAGCCGAATGGCGTTGGAGGCCATGTGAATGCACGCTTCATTTCAGTCCTGCAAAGGTGGCTGAGTGGGGTGTGTGGAGTTGTGTGAAGTTGTGCTTCAGACACACGGCAGGTTGGGAGTACAAGACGTTTCCTCGAGGAGGTAATGCAGCAGCGGAACCCAGGTGGCGACTCTCGGTGTTCTGGGCGCAGTGGAGAAGCCTTCAGAAGCCTCCGAAGAGGGCGCAGATCAGTGACTGTGCTTTGTCCACAGAGATAGGCCCTGTAAGGGCTGCTTCTCCTGTGTCTGTGTACCAGAAACAGTCCGAGTCATTGGTGTGAAAATACTTACGTTTCCGCGATGTGTGTTTTGTGTATAAAAACAGCGTGTGGACTTTTTAGTTTTTATTTTCGTTCTTTTATTTTTAGTTTTCTGAGACAGGGTCTTGCTAGTAGCCTAGACTGGCCTTGAACTCACAGTGCTCCTGCGTTGGCCTCCTGAGTGCTGGGACTGCAGGCATGCACCACCTCACCCAGCTGGACTTTTTCAAATTGGAAAAACCCCAGAAAATTGTATGAATCCTATTGTCACATCTATTCCTGAAATGTCAGGAGCAATTTGGGAACACACCATACCTGATGGACTCATTCCTTGTCACCTTGATGTTAAGTGCACCTGTACGTATTTATCTCCAAGTGCAGCATTTCTAGGGGAAAAACAGTAGCAAAAGCTTATGTGGAACAGGAGCCATTATTTAAAATTCTCTGGACCAGACGTAGCTCAGTGGTAGAGCTTTGGCCTAGCATGCACAAGGCCCCCGGTTCAATCCCCAATCCTGCAAAACAAAACAAAAAAAACAAATGTGAAAATGTTCATCAGACTACCATGAAGTATACCTGAAATATAATCAATAATTTTTTTTTTTCGTTTGGTACCGGGGATCGAACTCAGGACCTTGCGCTTGCGTGGCAGGCGTTGGAACCACTGAGCTAAATCCCCGGCCCTAATCAATAATTTCTTAATATCAAATATTCACTTAGTTTTCAAGTGCAGAAACCATTGAGCTTCACCACTAGTTTTTCAAGTACCTACACTGTATTGCTTTTTTTTTTTTGTACCTGGGATTGAACTTGGATCCTTGCGCTTGTAAGGTAGGCGGCGGAACCACTGAGCTAAACCCCCGGCCCTGCATTGCTTCTTAAAGGCTGCTTCTGCAAAGGTAAATGAGAAACAAGCTGTGGATGCAGGCTACGTAAGTGTTTCCTCCATGGAATGAGAACAAGTAGTAAAACGTGCTCCCCTGTGGCCAGTTTGCACTTAGATGCGTTGTCTGTCACCATTAATGTGTGTATAGGTTGTTGGGCACGTTGTGTCTTTAATGCACACTTCCTCCGTTTATACAGGTGATACAATTCTGTATGGTGCATGCAAGTGAATGAGTGGGTATGCCTTTATAAAATCCTTACCTTCATCGTAAGTTTGCTGGGAATAAGCAGTTTTTCTTTTATGCGATCCAAAACTGTTGTTGATGATAGACTCTCAATGTGTGTTTTATGATTGCCTTGATTGTATGTACGTAATGTAACTGTAAGGTAATATGGAGGAAGGTTCACTATCGCGTGGGTTTTCTGCTGGAAATCCTCTCATAATTGTGATAGGTATGCAAAGAATCTAAACCTAGAAAATCGTCCACTTCAGTGGATGACCTTGGATCCATTTCACGTCACATGTGCTGAAGGTGTCCCAGAAATGCCAGGTGGGAGGCCCGAGTTCTCCGTTCCCTGGACAAGGGCAGAGCTAGCCTGGGTCCTGACACCTCCCCATCCTACAAGACTGTGCCCCATCCCGGCCAGAGGTTCTGGACAGTGGCGCTTACAGCCCCTCCCTGCATTTCGCTGTTGGGGCAGGTTTTTGATCAGACAGGGTTTCTACCGGGAGCCAAACTGCCCTTCCCAGAGGTAGTGCGAGCTGGTCCTTGGCAGCTGCCCAGGAGCTTTGCCTGCAGCTGGCCGGGCTGGGTGAGCGCCTGCTGTCTGTTTCTGTTTCTGCTGACAGCAGTTTGCCTCTAGGTGAATTCTTCAAAGGGGATTCTGTGTAGACTGATTAGGGACCTTCGGAATTTACACTCACAATAGACATGCTCCGAGAGGCTGCAGGTGAGGAAGTGGCGGTGAAGGGGAAGGCACCCAGTGCCCAGGCGGGAGTCCTGGATGCGCTGAGGATGCGTGTTTGGGGAAGGCCTGCAGTCTAGCCAGAGCTGGGGGCTCTTAGGGGCGGGGCGCGGGTGGTGCCCTGCGTGTCTGTCCAGCCCTGCTTGGGGACAGGGTGCTGACCTGTGTGCTTGGGCGTGCGAGCCTGTGCAGAGGCGGTGGACACTCTTGGCAAATTCCTCAGAAACCGCCTGGCTTCCAAAGACAAGGCCTGTGCGTTACTAGTGCTTTGCTGTGAAGCAGCATTGGTTTTCATAGCGTAATCTCCGGAACCTCCTTTCAAAACGAGAGCTCACCACCTTCTAAATTTAAAGAAAGAAATTTAAGTTTGCCTGCTGTAGTACCTGTACTTGGACTCAGCCCAGGAGGAGAGGAGGACAGAAATGGTCGTGATTAAGTCAGTCCACAGGCAGAGTAATAGAACCCAATTTTAAATGGATAGACCATAAATATTTCTTGCAGGAAAATAATTCTTGATGTCTTTTTAGGTAAAGTTAGTCTTTATGCATGGATCTAATAAGTCCTAATTAACGTATAAATATTTTTATACTCTTTTTGTTTTGTTTTTCTTGTACCAGAGATCGAACTCAGGACCTTGCTTGCACTTGCAAGGCAGGTGGTGGGAACCACTGAGCTAAATCCCGGGTCAATATTTTTAAAGTCTCTGCCTGGTAGTTTGGGGAAAATGTTAATTGCATCTATTCTCGTGGTCTTCAGAGAAAAGTTTATGAGCAGAGATGGTGATGACTTTTCAGAGGCGGAAGCCGATGTACAAAGCTGCCTCTTTCCAAGGAAGTGCCTCAAACAGCCGGAGCTTTTGGCAGCAGGGGCAGTAAGGTG